TTTGCCCATAGAATCTTTCAATATTGCAACTCGAGGCTTAAATTTTTTCCTCAGTTCTTTCAGCTTGAGAAATGCCAAGCGTGTTCTTCCCTTTTGGTTTTCTAACTCCCCATCTTTGCACATTTCATTAGAGTAACTGGCTTTGTCTACTCGAGCTGCTCTTTGAAATCTTCTGTTCCGCTCTCTGATCTTGACATTTCTTCCATTTGCTTTAGCTACTCTCCATTCAAGGGCAAGTTTCAGACTCTCTTCTGACACCCATTTTGATCTTTTCTTCCTTTCTCATCTTTTCAATGACCTCTTGCTTTCTTCATGGAGATGCTCTTGATGTCATCCCACAATTCTTCTAGTTTTCAGTCACTGGTGTTCAATGCCTCAAATTTATTCTTCAGATGGTCTCTAAATTCAGGAGGGGTATATTCAAGGTCTATTTTGGTTCTTGTGGACTTGTTTAATTATCTTCAAGCTGAACTTGCATATGAGCAATTGATGGTCTATTCCACAATCAGCTCCTGGCCTTTTTTTGACTAAAGGTATTGCGTTTTTCCATCACCTCTTGCCACAGATACAGTCAATCTGATTCCTGTGTACGCTATATGGTGAAGTCCATGTATATAGCCACCATTTGTGTTGCTGAAAAAAGGTATTTGCAATGAATAAGTTGTTGGTCTTAAAAAATTCTGTTATGTGATCTCCAGCATTATTTCTGTCACCAAGGCCAAATTTTCCAACTTGGTTGTTTGTCTTCTTTGTCTCCAAGTTTTGCATTCCAGTCACCAGTGATAATTAACACATTTTGATTGCACATTAGGTCAATTTCAGACTGCAGAAGTTAACAGTTATCTTCAATATCCTCATCTTTGGCTTTGGTGGTTGGTGCATAAATTTGAAGAGTATTAGTATAAGAATTAATAATAGTATTAATTAGTCTTCCTTGTTGGTGTATGGCTATTACTGCATCACTGACAGCACTGTACTTCAGTATAGATCGTGAAACATCCTTTGTAATGATGAATGCCATGTCATTCCTCTTCAAATTGTCATTCCTGGCATAGTAGATCACATGGTTGTCTGAATCAAAACAGCCAAAACCAGTTCATTTCAGCTCACTAATGCCTAGGATATCAATCTTTATGCATTCCATCTCATTTTTGACAACTTTCAATTTTCCTAGATTCATACTTCTTACATTCCAGGTTCTGATTATTAATAGATGTTTGCAGCTGTTTCTCTTCAATTTGAGTCATGCCATGCCAGCAAAGGGAGGTCCCAAAAGCTTTACTTTATCCCTGTCATTAAGGTTGGTTCTACTCTGATGGGGCAGCTCTTTCCCCGTTGTATTTTGAGTGCCTTCTGACCTAAGGGGCTCGTCTTCCTGCACTGTATTGGACAATATTTGTGGGCTACTCATAAAATTGCCCAGTAATGTATCAGACAGTGTTTTTCTGCTATTGATAAGGTTCTCCCTGGCCAATTCTTTGAGAAGTGGATGGCCTCTTCCTTCTTCCTAGTCTGTCTCAGTCTGTAAGCTGAGTTGAAACCTGTGTACTGTGTGCAACCCTGCTGACGTTTGAAACACCAGTGGCACAGCCTCAAGCCTCACAGCAACATGCAAGCCACCACAGTATTACAAACTGACAGACTAAGTTAGTCTCCCTCAGTTGTTTGTAACCTCTCTGCCCTCCCCTTACCTGGATCCTGCCACTTTGTCTTCCCCTCCTTCCTGCCTTTGGGTGGGGCCTGTCTCCCTCCCCTTACCTGTATCCTACCACTTATAGTATCACACTACATACACTAAAACTTTTATAAAAGTACAGCTATGCAACTACTTAATCAACTTTTCTTGGACATAGAATAAATTTCCAAGTGGGGAAAGATTATAATGGACAAGTAACAGGTATTCTGACTCATTAAAAAAATAAAAGCAGTACTTTTATAAAACTTATAATCTTTGCATCTCAGTGCTAAGCATAATGTAGGTGCTACAACTGTGAGATATAAGTAAACTTTAAGATCAGGTAGAACAAACAAGCCAATCTATGCTTCTTATGTATTTTTAAGTTGTATTCACATTTGAACCACAGCCTCTTCTACTGTGAGACCAAAAGAATGAGATAGTGCTTGGCTACCACGACCAACTGCTCTGACCAAGGACACAACAGAAGGTTTGGGTTAGAATAGCAGAAAAACAAAACTCAAATTCATAAAAATGACCAGACTTATTGGACTGATAGAGACTAGAGGAACCCTGGGAATACTGCCCTAAGATACCCTTTTAACCTGGAACTGAAGTCACTCTCAAAGGTCACCTTTTAGCCAAATACTAGATTGGCATAAAATAAATAACAACACCCATGAGGTATGTGCACCTTTAAACAGTCAACTACATGAAACCAAACAGTCAACATTTACCTAAAAGCAAACATGAGAAGGCATGGAGGGGCAGGGAAACTGGATGGACGGGAATGCGGCAGGCAGTGTGGAGGCGGAGAGAGTGCTGACACATGGTAAGGACTGTAACCAATGTCACAGAATAATTTGTTTAAGAATTGCTAAATGGGAACCTAATTTACTGTGTAAACTTCCACCTAAAACACAACTGAACATTTTTTTTAAAGTTGTATTCGCATTAATAATGTGAGTTTTAGTTACTAAAATTAGTTTGTTTGGTTTTTTTTAAAGATTCTTGTAGACACTGGTATATTAAAAAAAAAACAACCAAGAAAAACCTCTCTCTGCCAGTACAGCTTAACTAAAGGATATGTTTCTATGTCCATTCTGGATTTTACTTTAATTTTTCATTATTTCCCTAAACTTAACTCTGGTATAAAGAATACCATCTGAAAGGAACAAAGCTCACAGAGAAGAACAGAAATTAAAGTACCCACCTGTGACGGAGTACTGGTAAGTTCCATCTTTTCTTGTGATTTCTCCTTTGCTAATCGAGCAGCTTCTTTAAATTCCTGAAACTTTTCTGCAAACTGAATGGATAAAGACTACACACATTAACCAAGTAAAAGTAAGTTACAGTTACCTTAGTTTTATTTTCTAAATAATTGACTGTTATGCTGACAACACAGTCCCCAGATCAGTTATAATATGAAAATGACAGGAAAAGAAAACTAACACCAAACGTTTGCTTGTAAACTATAAAGTACTTGGACAAATGTCATTAAAAGACATCACATGATATAACTAAATTAGACTTGGTGTCAGCTAGCTTATTTACATGGCTCTTTGGCTGATCATGGCAGCCCCAGTGGTACATTAGTTAAGCACTTGGCTGCTAACTGAAAGGTTGGGAGCTCAAACCTACCAGATGCACCATGAGAGAAAGATGTGGCAGTCTGCTTCCGTAAAGATTTCAGCCCTGGAAACACTATGGGGGCAGTTCTACTCTGTCCTACTGGATCACCATGAGTCAGAATCGACTTGATGACAATGGGTATCGTTTTTTTGGTTTTGGTCTATCAGAAATAATTTACTAAAACCAAGGTGGCAATTGGAGTTGGGAGTGAAAGCAGGAAAGACAGGAATACCATGTTTTGCTTTTCACCAAGAAAACGGAATTTTTTTTTAAGTAATCTATTTCTAAACATCCGAGTATTTACAATATACTTTAACTTTATTAGAATATAAACCCTCATATTATATAAGGCATTTTATTTGCAACAACACAAAGAAGTAACATTTATTGTTATTACTGACATTACTGAAACATCATATCCAAAGCTTCCTAAACAGTTAATGCACAGCAAGAGAAAGGAGTAACATATTCCATAAAAATATTTTAAACTGTCAACAATTTCAAAAGAAAAGTTACTGTACATGAAATGCTGTTTTTAGGAAGCCACAGGAAATTATAAAATGTCATGACCACAAGCAGTATCTGTTTATGTTTTAGAAGTGGAAGCTAGTCTACCACTATCATCCAAGAAAATAAGTTGGGGCTATAAAAAACAAAACAAATTTCAATGTAATTTAAATAGCTATTAGAGTTGGCAATAAAAATATGAAATTAGAGTTCCCTCTTCAAATTTCCATAAATCAACCTTAATTTTATTTTCATCTTCACAAGGAAGATGTCAAAGAAAAGCTTCATGATACTCTCTGGACTGTCTTGGGAAGATCCAAAAACCAAACACACTACCACTAAAGTTGATTCTGACTCATAGCAACCCCCAATTGGTTTCCAAGGATGTAAGTCTCTTTTTTTCCCCAGTGGTAGAATTCTTTTTTGAGAAAATTTTTATTGTGATTTGGATGAAAGTTCACAGAGCAAATCCAAGGCTATAAATCTTTACAGAAGCAGAGACTGCCTCATCTTTCTTCTGTGGAGCAGTTGGTGAGTTTGAACCACCAACCTTCTGTTTAGCAGCCAAATACCTTAACCACTATGCCACCAGAGCTCCTTCTTGGGCAGACAGAAGAAGGTAAAAATTATAGCTGTTATTATCACAACTTTTCTTTCTTACCTTTATCCTTGTCAGCCTGCCACATCTATAATGTATAGATCAGGAAGCTCGTCTCTACTACTATACTTCTCTAATTGAATAGAATGCTTCTTTACTGTAAGAAAATCTGAATACAAGCTGAAAAGTTCTCACATTGGTGGAAATGAAGTAAAAACAGAGTCATAATTAACTTTTCATTGTGTAATTTGAGGTAGTACACAAAGCTTTCTCACACTCATTTACTATTCCAAAATAAATTGACTTCTAAAACCCTTTCTCACGTTCATAGGAACTTATACTACTGCTGATTTTTATATCTTTTCTTTTCAGCAAAAGAAAAATGTGAAGGTTTAGGTTTCCATGTAACAAAATACAACTTAGTAAAATACTCTAACATCGCAAGCATAGCTGGAATTTTCCTCACACCAGTCAATGTTAGGAAACTGTACAATGGTTCTACTTCTAAGGACACTGCTCTCCCTCATTTTGAGAGGCTCTTATCTAGAACTGCATTCACAGCCTTCTCCAAACCCTTTTAATACTTTGAACCACTTATAATTCTTAATGATAAAGCAAGCCAGAGTATTTATATATTTGCTTCATTTATGCAAAAGATGATAAAATCCTGAGTCCCTTATAGTCTACAAAGCACCAAAATTAGTCTTCAAGGTAGGTAGGATAACAAATCATGATTTTGTCATCTCTGGATGCAAACATTCTGAAGAGACTGATCGTTAGCTCTAGGATTCAGGTCTGTAAGGTAATTAATATTTCCTAATATTCAATCCACCATCAAATTACTAGGATTCACCACCAGTATTGGTTAAAAAGTATATGCTAACTTTAGAGTTAAAAAAAAGACTCAAAATATAAAAACCAAATAAGGAGAGACAGTATGACTGACAGAATTTAATCGACCATTCATTTACCACATTAGCTAGCTAATAAGTAATGTGAAAAATGCAAAAATGTATAGTAAAAAAGTCACTAAGGCTCAAAATACATTTCATGCAAGTTTATTTGAAAAATTAATCCATGATTTAGTTCTTGTGTTTTCAAGTCAAGAATTTCAGAAAGTGGAATTTAATTATGTTTTTCATTTCCTCCTGTAACCTTTAATAGACTACTCCAAAAGAAAGAATTCCAAAAAGGTTCTGAGTACTTGGCAAACACATTAGAATAAATGTATCATTTCCCAAGGGGACTATATTTGAAGGGGCAATTCTCAAGTGGCCTTGTTATACTGGGTTCAGTTATTCTACTTTGAAGCTACAACTCTTTAATACATTCAAGAAATCTATTAAAGAGTAAGGTGTAGGAGAAATCAAATCAAGTAACTCTGGTTTGTTTTAATCATCCTCTAGAGGATGATTTATGATCCCTTAAGGTAAGCAGCTCTAGTGGTGCAGTGGGTAAAACAGTTGGCTGCTAACCAAAAGGTGGATGGTTTCAGCCCACCAGATGCTCTGCAGGAGACAGATGAGGTGTCTGCTTCTGTAAAGATTCACAGCCTTGTAAACACTATGGGGTAGTTTTACTCTGTCCTATATGGTTTCTACGAGTTGAAATAGACTCGATGCCTATAGGTTTTGTTTGGTTTTTAATGCAAAGTTGAAATTGTCTTAAAATTGAGCTATAAACTAAAATTTATATCAAAAAGTTAAGAAAAACACTTGAAAACAACACAGTGTAAAGTAATCTTTCCAACTAAAACAAAAGAAACCAAGGAGGCTATTTCAACTACTGAGTTATCTAATAAAACCTCATGTCAATAAATATTCAAAAATAAAGATTCTTTAAGAGAATGTCTTTTTAAGAATCTGAATGATTTCTGTTTTGAGTAGCTTAAGATTCAATGTAAATATGAACAGTGTGTATAACAAGAGACTTGATGGCCCTGTACTTCAACAATTTCAACTCTAAAGCCATCATCAAATCCTGTGTACCTTAAAATCACACGTAATGTGGTTCAAATGTAGAGGTGATCCTTTGAACCAAATGATTCAAACAGAGAGATGTGAAGCATAAATCTTTCAAACTTTAAGTCTGGTGAGTACAAAATTTGAAGAGCAAAAGCAAGTACACTAATCTCCTTGATCATTTTAGTATTCTGAAATTGTTTCCTTTTCCTTATGCCCTTTCCACGTGACATCCACAAAAATTTACGGTGCTGCCAGTACAAGTGCTGCATGGCTTTTACTACAACAAACAAACAAACAAACAAAACCAAACTCCCTGCCATCGAGCCAATTCCAACTCATAGCAACCCCCTTTGGGTTTCTGAGGCAGTAAATCTTTATGGAAGTAGACTGCCCATTCTTCCTTCCGCAGAGTGGCTGGTGGAGTTGAACTGCCAACCTTCTGGTTAGCAGTCAAACGCCTTAGGCACTACAACACCAGAGCTCCTTACTATATGGAGGACAAATTTTATTTCCAACATCTAGCCTGATGATGCTCAGCATTCTACTGGCCTTTCTGGACATAGAAACTCACTTAGCATCATGTGAGAACTCCTCATAGTGCCTCCTGAACCTCAACTGCACTGCATCAGAGGGCTCAGAGCATGCCACATGTAGTAAAGCACCATTTCAAGCAAGTTTCCCAGAACACAGTAATTTACAGGTGCCTGCTGTCACATCAAAAAGCTGAAATCTGTATTGCTATCAGCTTGAGTTTTCACAATTTAGAAAAGCTTAGTGCTTGTTTATCTTGCTATGAATTGTCACAGACCATTTCCAACTGAGAGTGCTAATCTCTGAGCAAATTCCACTCTGAAGTGGTAATTCCCACCTTTTATTTTCAATCATACAAGCAGTTTACAACCACACAAATCCTTTTCAATATGGTGACCATTTTTAATGTGTACAGTAATTTTTCTAATTCCGAGTGGAATCCAATGATTTTTCACTTCTTGCTCTAAAGTCACTATACTTCTAACAATATTAATGTCTCCTATATTTTATTCTCTTTGTTTGCTATTATGTATTTAAGATATCTGACTTGAAGATAAGGATTTCCATCCAATCTTATTATTTAACTTACTTTTGAAAGATGATGCTCAGAGGAGAATCCCAGTCCATAAACAGTATTTGCCCGGCTATCGGCCCACTGGCCAAACTTCTGAGATGTTTTAGTAAATGTCATGTTTGGGGTGATGGTGCTGTTTATTATTGCCTGAAAAATAAATCAAATATTAGGATCCAGTCAAAATTACCAAACAGACACTTAAACCTAGGACAATTTGGTTACATAACTGCTTAATTCCTAATAGGCAATAATATTAAATATAGAGAGCTTACAGTGTTATAAGTGACTGTATAAAAATATTGTAACTAAATCTAAAGGCACACCTGTCTATCAAGAATTTTCAACACTTTACACTCAAAATAAATTTTGGTATAATCCAAAAAATTTGAAGATTTTTTAGTGTAGTCACTTTATTCCCTTGAATATTTAGGGTCAATATCTATTTGTTTTGGATGATAATTATTAGAATTAGTCCTTAGTAGATATTACTTAGGGAGCTCTGGTAGTATAGTGGCTAAGGCACTGGACTGCTAACCAGAAGGCTGGAGGTTCAAACCCACCAGCCACTCCTTGGAAGGAAGATGAGGCAATCTATTTCCACAGTGACACTGCCTCGAAAACCCAAGGAGCGGTTGCTGAGTCAGGTCCAACTCGACGGCACATAACAACAACAGATATTACTTAAAAGTAAGATCCTACTTCCCTTAAAGGCTCTTTCAAAAATGAATATATTAATATAATAAGTGACACTGATGCTCTAAAACCCAAAATCAAGGATTTTCTTAAAGCTGACTTACCTGAAATACATCATGATTTTATAAAAAGACTTAATCATTTAGCATTTTTTCCTTTATTCAATGCAAAACAAATCCCTAAATATATATCTTACTTCTTTTCCCATAAAGTGTCATAGATTAATGTTAATAACTGTATTTCTGTTTAACACATAGTTTCTTAGGAAACTAGTATTTTAGTACGTTATTAAATACTAACTTTGATGATCAACATAATAAGCTCCAAGTGTTAAAATAAATTAAGTTCTTTCCCTCTGGCAGTACTGTAAAAGTGTGGAATCATCTGCAGTTAGGTAGTCTAATGCCCTCTAGAATTAAGATTAAAAAGTTATCCCTATAATAATAAAAATGTATAGGTTATCAAATCCATAAGGAGTCATCTGGTAAACTACTAAAGGTGAAATTAAAATGAAGTATTTCCAGAACAAAGCTAAATTTGTTCACCATGCAAACAACAGCGTAAATGTAAATATTTACAACTAAGCAGGCAACAGTGAAGTTACAACAAATGCATGGTATCACAGTATTTGTTCTCCAAAACCAAAAAAACCAAACTCACTGCCGTTGAGTCAGTTCCAACTCATAGTGACCCCTCCCTTGGGTTTCCAAGGCAGTATTTCTATGGAAGTAGATTGATTGCCCAGTGTTCCTTCCGAGGAGTGGCTGGTGGGTTTGAACAATCAGCCTTCTGGTTAGCAGTCATAGGTACTATGCCACCATACCTCTCGGTATTTGTTCTATTAAACCAAAAAACCAAACCCACAGCCACTGAGTCGATTCTAACTCATAGCGACCCCTACTGGGTTTCCGAGGTGGTAAATCTTTAGCGAAGTAGACTGCCCCATCTTCCTTCTAGGGAACGGCTGGTGGGTTTCAACTGTCAACCTACTGGTTAGCAGTCAAAGGCCTTAGGAGGCACCAGAGCTCCTTTTGTTCTACAAAAGAGGACTGTAAAACAGAGAAAGAGACAGCTCCTGGCTATATCTCCAAGGTAACAGATCTATCATCTGTTGCTTTGAAAGCCCTTATTCTTAAGATTTTTACCTCTGACAAAATTTATATACTCTGATCCCTCTATAACCTTCAGTTCAAAGTCATGTTAGATCCCACAAAGGGGGGCTAACAACTGCCCTAACTTGTAGGACTGTCAGATGAACGATTAAATGGGAAAGAATGTTTTTGTACCTATTAAATGCCAAACACAATTCTAGAAATATGAGCTATAACAATGAATAAGATAGCAGTATAATCATGGATTACATTCTAGAGTAAGTGGAATCAGTCAATATACAAGTAAATAAACAGCTGACCAGCAATTTCAGAGAGTGAAAAGTACTGTGAAGATTATAATAGGAGCTCTGGTAGCATAGTGCCTAAGGCACTTGACTGCTAACCAGGAGGCTGGCGGTTCAAACCTACCAGCCACTCCTCGGAAGGAAGGTTGGGCAATCCTACTTCCGTAGTGATACTGCCTCGGAAACCCAAGGAGGGGTCACTATGAGTCGGGGCCGACTCTATGGCAAATAACAACAACAACAATGTGACAGAGAGAAAAAGGCAAGAAGTTAAAGACTGGCAGGTACTACTTTAGACGTGATGGTACTGAAGTATTCCCTGAGGAAGGCACACTTGAGTTGGATCTGAGTGCATTCAAGCACAGAAGTCCACTTCATTTGTGTTGCTAATAACTCTCATAAAGTGAGGTAACAATAGGTTTTATGGGCACCTAAGAAAACTGGTCAATACACTGTTGATTACTAATGATCCTGTTTTAGCTATTCAAAATCAACTTCTTTCTGTTTTCAAGAATTCCTTTATAATGCACATTTTGAAACTTTCCATTCCTCTGTATATCCTGCTTTTAATTTTCTTTTGTTACTCAAGAAAAACTTTAAAATGATAGATGATCTCACACTTAAAAAAAATGTATTAGAATTCTTTGAACACAAAGCTAGTATAAATGCTTTTGGAGTCCCTGGGTGGTGCATGTGTTACAGTGCTCTGCTGCTTACTAAGAGGTTGAGAGTTGGAATCCCCCCAGAGGCACCTCAGAAGACAGGCCCCAGACTTCCGAAAAGTTGGCCACCGAATACCCAACGGAGCTCGGTTCTACTCTGACACACACCGGGGTTGGCCTGAGTCACAATCAACAGCAACTGGTGATTAATCCATTTAGAAGAAGATTTTGTTTCTTTACAATAAATATCTCTCCAAATTGTATGTGAACTGCTGTATGGAAAGTGAATTTGATCTGTAAATTTTCACCCAAATCACAATTTAAAAAAAAAAAAAGAGAGAGAGAGCTCTTTGAATATTATGGAAATCAGACTATTGATTGTCAGTATGTTGTAAGTAAATTTGTGCTAAATAAATAAATAAAAATGTCTCTCAACCCCAGAGGTCTTGTCCTATTAAGCAAAAAAAGCAACAATGCTGTGTCTTTAAAGATCATGTGGTGTGCCCTTGGCCAAGCTAATACCTCTGCAGTATGATTAGAAAACATTAAAGGAAGCTCTACGTCCACAGTAAAGGCACTGAGTGAGAACAAATGGACATTTTATAATCATCTAAGGGTGACTATAGCTTCCAAGGAGCTCTGGTGGTACAGTGCCTAAGGCATTTATTTGACTGCTAACCAGAAGGTTATAGGTTTGAACTCACCAGCCGCTCTGTGGAAGGAAGGTGGGGCAATCTACTTCCATAAAGATTTACCGCTTTGGAAACCCAGTGGGGGTTGCTGTGAGTTGGCATTGACTCGAGCAAGTTTGATATTTTTTGGGGTGGGGAAGGGCTTTCCATCATGCAATCATGAGAAGCATACATTGGAGCGACCCCTCTTTGGGTTTCTGAGGTGGTATCTCTACAGAAGTAGATTACCCAATCTTTGTCAAATAAATGACTATTGTCTACTCTTTAGGAGCTCTGGTAGCATAGTGGCTAAAGCACTTGACTGCTAACCAGAAGGCTGGAGGTTCAAACCCACCAGCCACTCCTCAGAAGGAAGATTGGGGAATCCTACTTCCGTAGTGATACTGCCTCGGAAACCCAAGGAGGGGTTGCTATGAGTCGGGGGTCGACTCGACGGCACATAACAATAACAACAACACTCTTGCAGGGAACTGTAGTAGTTAGCAGCATCAATTAAGAAAACTAACCAGATAACAGAAAATGTGAACTCCTTTATGCTATAGAAAGCAGATTTTGTAAAAAAGACAAAACAAAACTTTTTTCACAAGAAATTATTTAAGATTCAAATAATTATAAGCAGCCAAGTTTATTCAATGATTGAAATGCCAGAAACAGTAGTTTATATTACTTCAGAAGGAAGAATACAGAATGATTATTTAATCACCAAAATTCCTTGAAAGTAACTCAACGTATTTCATTTTTGCAAAGGTTAAGTTAGCAACTGAAATGTACTTGCACATTTCCATACAGTTTTTTTTTCTTTTTCATGGGAGGACTTCAGTTAACCTTTATACCTTTATGTAATTTAATCCTCCTACCTAGTAATACTATGTTTTATCTGGTTTTTTTTTTTTTTTTTTTTTTGGAGGGGTCGGGGTGGAGAGAAACACAGAATACAGAGAGTTAGAAAGTTTAAGTCAGGAAAAAGTAAAAAATAAACACTCTAGAGTCTGATATTATTATACTTAATATCTATTAATTTCACTAAACCAAAGTTACAAAATATGACACATAACATTCTTCACTAAAAAAAGTTTCACAGAAGTTAACTATTACTATTTTTTAAGTCTTTTAAATCCTCTAAGTACTGAACATTGTGAAAATGTCAGTTCTACCCAAAGCAATCTATACATTCAATGCAATCCCAATCCAGATCCCATCAACATTCTTTA